GAGGAGGAGGAGGTGGAGGAGGCAGGAAAAGGGAGGAGGGAGGGAAGAGGAGGGGGGAGGGAGGGAGGAGGGAGGGTGGAAGGAGGAGGAGGAGGAGGAGGAGGAGGAGGAGGAGGAGGAGGAGGAGGAGGAGGAGGAGGAAGAAGATCGAGCGGAACTCGGAGCGGCTGTGCCCCGGCGGGTCGCTCCGAGCTCTCGGGGGCCATCGTGGGGCCGTCTGGGCCCAGGCTTGGGCCGTCGATGCGCCTTCCAAGGCCGTCGTGGGTCCGCGGGAGGCCCTCCTGGGGTTTTCGTCGGGTGCTTCTTGGGCCATCGTGGAGTCCTTTCGGGCCACCTTTGGAGCCTCTTGGGCTGCCTTGGGGCCATCGTGGAGGCTCCGTGGGCCGTCTGGAGCTGACGGCAGCCCGAGAAGGGCGAGACTACGAGAAACAGTCAAGAACTTAGTGGGCATCAATGAGTCTGGCGTCTCTGGACCCTGTCTGGGGTCCGCTTGTGGCACTTGTGGGCCCGCGTGGAGGCATTTGGGGCCGTCTGACAGGCATGAGAATGCGGAAGTTGCACGCTCCTCGAGAGGGCGCGCGTGGGATGAGAGGTCGAGGGGCTGGCAGCCATGCGGTGCAGTGCACCTTTCTCGAGCGGGCGCGTATGCAACGAGGGTTCCGGCATTCGCTGCCATGTTGGAAGTGCACCATCCTCGAGCGGGTCCGCGCGGAATGTGGGTTCAGGCTTCAGCACGCTGGAAGTGCAGCATCTTCGAGCGGGCACGAGGGGAGTGGCCTCGGGAAGGGGGGGGGGGATGCGTGCGGCTGTCTGCGAGCAGATGGAGGGGCAGTCCCTCCGTAGGAATCAAAAGCCCTACCAGACAGCCCTTGGCAGTCTTCCACGCCTCAATATGCCGGGTGGCGCGGTGACGGACCTCCGCCGTCCCTGTCAGAAGCAACTGCAAAGTTGCAGCGAGGTGGTCAGCATGGCGCAGAGCGCGTTCAGCAGTAATCAGTTCGCATTGGTGTTTGGTATGGAATTTGAGCCAGCGCATCGCGGACAAGCAGGATCCCCCTCCAGCCATACCCGTGTAAAGCCCATGCAGAGTGATCGCAGGGTGCTCGCAGGACTCCGGTTCATGATTCAGATGTTGTAGCCACGTGCACTTTGCACTTGGTGCTTTTGTGGCAAGGACTGGTGGGGCGGGCGCTAATGGTTCCTAATCGGTATGGGCACGGAGGAGCTGAATCCCAACAGCCACGTGCGCCCTGAGGGACTGCTGACGCCTCACCTCCTCAGCCTGACGACCCCTGGAGGGGAGGGCCGCGGATGTCGTTGGTTGCGTGATAGCTCTTGAACCTTGTCTCGCCGGCCCAGGATACGGTCCAAGAAGCACGAGATCATGATCGCACCAGACAAGGAGCTCATTCACCTCCTCACCCATCCTTTTCCTCCTCCCGACCATCCTCCTCATCATTCTCCCGTCTCCTCCGTATTCCTCCTCTCTGCCTCTCATCCTCTTCCTCTTCCTCCTCCTCCGCCTATCCTCCTATCCTCCTGTCCTCCCCTCTGCCTCTCCTCCTCATCCTCCTCTGCATCATCCTACTGTCCTCCTCTTGCTCCTCTTGCTCCTCCTCATCCTCCTCTTCCTTTTCCTCCTCCTCCTCCTCCTCCCTTCCCTTTCCGTCTTTCTTCCTCCACCTCTTCCCCGCCTGCCGCATCTCAACCGCCCGTCACAGGAGTACATCCTGATCGTCATCCAGGACCCCAACGCGGACCAGTCTGGCTGAGAGGCGTCGTGCTCCCCGGGGCCCGCCCCCCCATCCCTCCCTGCTCTCTTGGTCGTCCCCCCCCTTCGTGTAAGGCGTCGTCCTCGTCGTCATGTCCATCATCGGCCTCCTCCTCCTCATCATCATCATACATTGGAAACTCGTGCCAAGAAACACCCTGCTTGCCTCCGTAGTAATCTGGGCTCAAGCCAGCCCAGCGGGCCAGTCCGGCGGATTCCGTTTACCGTACGAGCTCATCCGCGCGCCCCCCTTTCTGGCCAGCCATGCTCTCCAAGGTGCTCGCGTTCGCGGGCCTCGCCACGGCGTCTGCGAACGCCGCCGTGAGTGGAGCGGGGGCTTCAGTCTTCGAGGCGGTCGCCCAGCGGCGCGACGTCGTCATCGGGGACGGGGAGGACGCCGTGAACGGAGACGTGGACGAGGAGGTCCAGGATTACTTCGAGCAGTTCCTCGAGGGCGAGTCCGAGGACGGCAAGCCCAAGAAGCGCAGGTCGTCTGCGAGAACGCACGGGTCCATCTCGAGCTTGACGGCCAACCTGGACGAGGCCATCCCGCTGCTGGAGTATGACTTCAAGCAGAAGACGCAGGCGCTCAGGGTCGCGCTCGTCCTCTTCAAGGAGAAGCAGAGGGCCATGGACGTGGCGAAGAGAGAGGCGACCCTGGCCATGAAGGAGCTCCGCAGGGAGGCCGAGCATCGCCGCCTGGCCGCCTCGGAGCGCCGGAACGCCAAGCAGAGGGAGGTGATCGGGGGTTGCTAGAAGTGCCCCTGGCCCCGGGTGCTCCCAGCTTTCGCTCCATTTTGGCGTCCCTTCGGCCCTCCGGGCCCCGTGGGGGGTGCCCTGGAGGCAGTCTGGGCCACCCCGAGAGTCCTGGGGGTGCCTTGGGCCCGGGGTGCTGCCAAGCAACGCCCGAGGTGAACGCGCTGAGGGAGCAGAAGCGCACTGCCAAGGAGGCGATGATCAAGAAGGCTCAGGAGGGGAAAGAGCACACATACACAATTAACAGATATGGGAAAATATGGGAAGAGGGGGGAAGACAAAAACCTAGAAATCATAAGAAAATACGGGCAATCCTGTTATTTGTGTGTATTTATTTGTGTGTCCTGGGGCCCCTTCAAAGGCGCAGGCCCTGATGGGCGCCAAGGGCGAGCAGGCGGAGGGCATGCTCGGCGAGATGTCCCTCGGCGTCATGGTCGACGTGCTCATGGCCCTGCCGCAGGCCGTGGAGAACCCCATCTTCGTCAAGCGGCTCAACAGGGCGAAGGACTGCATGTCCCCCTACAGGGGGAAGATTCAAAAATAGCCCAAAAAATAGTCTGGGGACTATTTTTGGAGTATGTTTGGACTATTCTGGAGAATGTTTTGAGTATTTTCTGTTTTTCGTCAAAAATCCCCATGTAGGGGGACACGCCCGACTTAAGCGAAGGACGAGGTCACGCGGTCCGTCCAGGACTTCCTCAACATCACGCGCCGGAAGACGTCGAAGTTCGTGTTGGCGAGCAGCAAGGCCTCCGACGTGGAACTCTCCTTTCTCATGGCGCGCTACTTCCACGAGGCCTCCTTTCGGGTCAAGGCGCTGCAGTCGGACGCCCAGAAGGTCGCCAGGGACCTCAACGTCGTGATGCCCCGGGAGCTCCGTCAGAGCTTCTTGCCCATCATCAAGCAGCTGCGATCGAATGCGGTCCCGCTGCGCGTGAACGCCAGCGAGCTCGCGAAGGCGACGTTGTCCGAGGCTTGCAGTCAGATCTCCAGCGTCATGGCGAACATCAGCGATTATAACAGCAAACTGAGCACGATGCACACTGGCCTGCACAACCTCTGGCAGATCTCCGAGCTGATGCTGCCGCACATGAGCAAAGTTTACCCTCTGAAGACGGTCGTCATCGACACCGTCAAGGACTTCATGTCTATGGCGACCACGCAGGTTGCGGGTCTTCAGGAGTCCTCGGACGAGATCGTGACAAACCTCGGCCCCGTCGTCATGGAGCGTATGCAGTGCACCTGGTCCTCCGCGCGCGCCCACGGCGCGGGCATCTTCGCCCTGCTGGCGTCTTTGGCCGGCTTCCTCTTCTACTGAGAGCCCTGATAGTGGAGCGTGGCCCGAGCCAGACCCTAAGCGTCTCTACTTCCTCATCTCGAACTGTTGTTCTCTCTCTCTCTCTCTCTCTCTTTATCTCTCTCCTCGACAGCGGCCTTCCTGTTGTTTGCCAGGGCAGGCGGCGCGTCGCGGTTGTCGCCTCGGGAATAAAAAGAATAGCCTGGCGAAGAACCCAACCATATGCAGCTGCGAGTATCGTAGGATTTGCCCCTCTCCTCATAAGTAGCGCGCCGCGAGAGGGATGGAGCACGGGGCAACGCGGATGGGAGCCCCGAAACGTCCGTAGGGTGTGCTGGAATGAGATGGGGACGCATGCGGGCGCTGCCACTGGGACTACGTTCCGAGCTCCCTATGAGGCCACGGAGCGTGTGAGGCGTGTGCCGTACTGGCCCGAGGCTGCCATGGGAACCCTGCCGCTGGAGCCTTCGGTGGAGCTCCCTGTGTTGCCACGATCCTCGTGAGGCGTGTGCGGAACTGGCCCGAGGCGGCCATGGCAACCCTGCCGCTGGGGCCTTCGGTGGAGCTCCCTATGGGGCCACCATTCTCGTGAGGGGTGTGCCGAGATGGCCCAAGGCCGCCATGCGAACCCTGCCACTGGGGCCTTCGGTGGAGCTCCCTATGGGGCCACAGAACGTGTGAAGGGTTTGTTGTGATGGCCCGAGGCCGCCATGCGAACCCTGCCACTGGAGCCTTTGGTGGAGCGCCCTACGGGGCCACGACGACGACGACGACGACGACCACGACGACGACGACGACGACGACGACGACGACGACGACGACGACGACGACGAGGAGCCCTCTCAGGACGGGGCCAGTACGAGGATAAATCCGTTCCCCAGGAGATTTGGCAATTCTGGGCCAGGGCTCTCTGAGAGCGTCCTCAGGATTGAGGCCTGAGGCTCCAGGGGATTGAGCAGGGGACCTGAGGACACGCCAAATCGTGCCTCAGGGGCATGATGGCAGATATCCGGCCATCAGGGGGCGTCGACGCGTTGCCTGGGTCGGGTTCACGACCTCCGTCTGCCAACCCATGGCGCAGAGGATGAGACCCAGACAGCCTTTTCCGCGTGCGCTCGAGGGCCAATCTTGCTCCTGGAGCTTGAACCTGTCGTCGCGCGTTGTTACCGTTGGCTGGAACGAGCTAGGACGAGGGTAAGTCCGTTCCAGAGCGTTCCGGAGCGCTCGCGGCGCGCTCCGGCATGCTCTGAGAAGGCCGCGACGCCCGAGGCGTCCTCCAGAGTCGCGGGATCTCAGCGATGCTCGGTTGATGCCTACCCGACGTTACCCTCGCCCTGGTTTTGCCTCAGGATGGCCCTCGTGGATCCCTCGTTTGATGGCCCCTGGGGGCTCCCAGGCGCCGAAATCGAGGAGCAACGCTGGGGTTGAGCACAAGCAGATCGTCGCAGATCGATGGTCGGGAGCGTTTGCTCTTAGCGCGTCGTCGTGACGGCTCCGGCCTCACGCTATGCCTGGAAACGAACAGCTATGTCGCTCCGCTCCGCAGTCGGGAGACGCCGGCCACGCGCAGAGGGGGGCAGGGAAAGGGGGGAGGGCTTCTTAGGAGCACCCCCGCTGCTTAGAAGGCGCGGGCCTCATCTACAGATGCAAGGCTGGCGCCTTCTGAAAAGCAGCCTGCTTCTAAGAAGCCTTCCCCCCTCCCCCATACCCCTGAGTGCGCGCCGCCAAAGAGGCTCGGGACGTTGACGCTCGGGGACCGGGGAAAGGGTCGGGACTTCTAGGGACCGCCTTATGGAGAGACTCAAGGCATCCGATCTCTGGGACGTGATTGCACGGGTCATGCTATACAGCGCTAAGGTTTTTTGAGTGATCCTTCAGGGTAACGGATTCTCGGCCCACCACGTACCCAGTGGAGTCCCCACTACTGGGTTTGAGTCCTGGGGGGGACCCCAGTTTCGTTAGTTTGTCAGCGCCAGGGCTACTAGTAGCTCGCATTGCGCCCAGAGGTCGCCGGTTGCTCCAAGGAGCTCTCAGAAATTGGGAGCTGTTCCGCCGCCGGCGGCTGCCCATCCTCGCCCCTCAAACCTAGATTTAGGTCGGGCCCGTCCGTCTACAGGAGGAATATTCAAAAATTGCCAACCAATAGTATGGGGACAATTTGTCTATTAATTGTTGCTTATGTTTGAGCCTGTTTCGACTATCTATTTACCTAACAGCGAAGACTGATAGGTTTCTAGTGGTCTCAAAAGAGAGCAGCAGATGACTCCACAGGGGGGTCTGGGCGGGTGCCGGACAGGGTGCCGCAGAAGTCGTTTTAAGCCAACAGTCACACACTTCGTGCTCTTCGACCTCCCAGAACTCCACATGCCCGGAGCCAACTGTAGGCCACTTCGTGCTCTTCGAGTTCCCAGAACTCCATTCCCGGGCCACATTTTGATGCCCGGAGCCAACTGTAGGCCACTTCGTGCTCTTCGAGTTCCCAGAACTCCATTCCCGGGCCACATTTTGAATGCCCGGAGCCAACTGTAGGCCACTTCGTGCTCTTCGAGTTCCCAGAACTCCATTCCCGGGCCATGAATGCCCGGAGCCAACCAGTTCCCAGTGGTGCCACGGAGCCCGGAACTGTAGGCCACTTCGTGCTCTTCGAGTTCCCAGAACTCCATTCCCGGGCCACATTTTGAATGCCCGGAGCCAACTGTAGGCCACTTCGTGGTCTTCGAGTCCCCAGAACTCCATTCCCGGGCCACATTTTGAATGCCCGGAGCCAACTGTAGGCCACTTCGTGCTCTTCGAGTTCCCAGAACTCCATTCCCGGGCCACATTTTGAATGCCCGGAGCCAACTGTAGGCCACTTCGTGCTCTTCGAGTTCCCAGAACTCCATTCCCGGGCCACATTTTGAATGCCCGGAGCCAACTGTAGGCCACTTCGTGCTCTTCGACTTCCCAGAACTCCTTTCCTGGGCCACATTTTGAATGCTGAGGCAGGCTGATGCTGCGGTCGAGGCAGGCTGGGGCTGAGGCAGGCTGAGGCTGAGGCCGAGGCTGAAGGCAGACTGAGGCTGAGGCTGAAGCAGACTGAGGCTGAGGCTGAGGCAGGCTGAGGCTGAGGCTGAAGCAGGCTGATGCTGAGGCAGGCTGAGGCTGAGGCTGAGGCTGATGCAGGCTGAGGCTGAGGCAGGCTGAGGCTGAGGCCGAGGCTGAAGGCAGACTGAGGCTGAGGCTGAAGCAGGCTGAGGCTGAGGCTGAGGCAGGCTGAGGCTGAGGCAGGCTGAGGCTGAGGCTGAGGCAGGCTGAGGCTGAGGCTGTGACTGCGACTGCCGTTGCCGCTGCGACTGTCATCGCGAATGCGACTACGACTGCGAGAACAGCAGAATTCTACAACTGGATTTTCATCTGAATCTTAAGGGGAATGCTTTCAGATATGCTTCTACACATCGCTGTTAGGTTGCTTTGCCGGGATAATTTTTTGTTCGCCCAAGGTTCCCCTGTAGGAGGACATGCCCGACCTAAACCTGGACATCCGACGTCGTGCTCTTCTGTTCCCCACTTGCGGTCAGGCGCGCTTGCTCCGCGGGTCGCTCCGCCGACCACCTCCCGGCCCCCCCCCCAAAGCGTCAACGTCCCGAGCCTTTCCCGCCCTCCCGCCCCGCGCATAGCGGAGCGGCACGCTGTCACCTCGCAGGGCCCAGCATGCCGCCGGCGCCGCCGCCGCCGCGACACGTGGAGCAAGAGTTCCTGGCCGTAGCCCCCCCCCACCCCCGGGGTATGGACCTTTGCGAAGACCGGGCCTGGCGTTTCGTCCCGAGCCGTTGGCTTTAGAGCCCGGGGGCCCGCCTGGCGAGGGCCCCAAAGAAGGCCGAAAGCCCTTCCGCCGTTCCCTCTGCACGGTGCGAGGACGTCCGGGCCCTCTGACCTGGCCCATCTGCCTTCCGAGAAGCCCCCCGGCCGTCTGAGAAGCCGCCGGGCATCTCTGAGAAGGCCCCGGCCTCTTAGAAGCCCTTCGGCCTTCTCAGAAGCCCACCCCCGCGGGCGCCGCCCACAAGCGTCGCTGGCGACGTCGGGGCTGCCATCGCCATCAGCCTCGCCGTCGCCGCCCCCGCCCGCCGCAGGGTGCCGCCGGAGCACCGCCACCGCGGCCGCTGGGGCGCCGTTTGCCAAGCCCTGGCGGCCAGCCGCTCCGAGAAGCTGGTCGGAGCGGAGGCCGCGCAGCGCCCGCTGTCTAAAGCTCATCGGGTCATGAAGAAATCGTGGCGAGAGGGCTTGCACTGTTTTCGGCCCCCGGGGGCCCTCACCCAGCCTCGGGACCGACAAAAAAACGACTCGGGATGAGAAGCATGTCCCGGGGAATGGGTCGAGATCCCCAGGGGGCGGTTTTTTTTTACACATCTATAGAATATATTATTTAAAAAATGGCAGGGTCTGGGTCCGGGACACCAGAAGCATTCCAGAAAAGGCTTCGCCTTCGAGCTTCCAATACAAGTTTTGCTATTTCTTCCTCGGCAGAAGGTGGCGGAAACTCGCGGAAATAAACTTGGGGAGGCTCCGTTGGCGGAAGCCAGCAGATCCTCCTCCTCCTCCTCTTCTTCCTCCTCCCCTCCTCCTCTTCCTCCTCTTCCTCCTCCTCCTCCTCCTCCTCCTCCTCCTTTCTCCTCCTCCTCCTCCTCCTCCTCCTCCTCCTCCTCCTCCTCCTCCTCCTCCTCCTCCTCCTCCTCCTCCTCCTAGTCGGCGCTGGAGGTCCAGATAATTTGAGCTCCGGCGGAGTGAGGATTTTCACTGAAACTCACTCACACGACTTCCGCCCCATACATTATCCAATCCTGGTCGGGCGGGCGAGAAGGAATGGGGGGGAGGAGGAACGGAGAGAAGACACAATCCCTGTAGCCACTCCGATACCGCATTTTCTGACGCAGAGAACGGATCCGCCGTACCCATGTTCGGAGATGCCAGAGTGCTAGGATTGCCATGTGCGAACAATTGGTTTATGAAGTGCCGTCGCTAGAGAGTAGTTACCAGAGGGAAGATGGAGGGCCCGAGGTCCGGAGGCATACACAGGGTGCCAGTGAAGAACCTCGAGAACCCATAAGCGACTCAGAGCCTTGGGAACAGCTGCGCCAGGAGCTTGGCCCTGTAGCAAATGAGGAGTCAAAGAAACAGAGAACGTTTTTTTTTGGCGGAAAAGATGACGCTGGAA